TGCCCGTGGCCGCTGCTGCCGATCGCCCTTGGAACAGGGGGCCGGCACGGCAAGGCGGCACTGCGCCACCTCCGCCAGCTCGCGCAGGACCAAGCCGAGCTGGTGGACGAAGAGCGCGCCGCTGCGGTGGCCAGCGCCCTGGCACAGCGCTGGGGCGTTGAGCTCAGCGTCGCCTTGCACCGCGCAAAGGCGCGGTAACTGCGGACCGCCATCGGCGGGGACCGCGCTGCCCAGGCCGCCGAGCTGCGGGCGGAGGTGGCCGGCTGAATTGGCGTTCGGGCGGGGCTCGCGCAGCTGCGCTACCGGGTCCTCTATTGCGTGAAGATGGCCATAGTGTCCGGGGCGTCTATTGCTCAGAGATGGCCATAGCGTGCGGAGGCTAGGTGCACCGACTGTTCTTCATGTTCGCAAAAGGAGGAGGAGGAGGAGGAGGAGGAGGAGGAGGAGGAGGAGGAGGAGGAGGGGGGAGGGAGGAGGAGGAGGAGGGAGGAGGGGAGGAGAGGGAGAGGAAGAGGAAGAGAGGAGAGAGAGGAGGAGGAAGGACGAGGAGGAGGAGTTGGACGAGGAGGACGAGGGAGGAGGACGAGGAGACGAGGACGAGGGAGGACGAGGAGGACGAGGAGGACGAGAAGGACGAGGAAGACGAGGAGACGAGGAGGACAGGAGGACCGAGGAAGGACGAGGAGGGACGAGGAGGACGAGGAGGACGAGGAGGAGGACGAGGAGGAGGACGAGGGGAGGGAGAGAGGAGAGGAGGAGGAGGACGACGAGGAGGAGGGAGGACGAGGACAGGAGGAGCAGCAGAGGAGAGGAGGAGGAGAGGAGGAGGAGAGGAGGAGGAGGAGAGGAGGAGGGGGAGGAGAGGAGGAAGGAGGAGGGGGGTGAGGAGGAGGAGGAGGAGGAGGAGAGGAGGAGGAGAGGAGGAGGGGAGGAGGAGGAGGAGGAGGAGGAGGAGGAGGAGGAGGAGGAGGAAGGAGGAGAGAGGAGGGGGGAAGGAGGAGGAGGAGGAGGAGGGAGGGGGAGGAGAGGAGGAGGAGGAGGAGGAGGAGGGAGAGGAGGAGGAGGAGGAGGAGGAGGAGGAGGAGGACAAGGAGGTGGAGGAGGAGGAGGAGGAGGAGGAGGAGGAGGAGGAGGAGGGGAGGCGGTCTATGAGAAGGGTAACGCGGTCGTGGATGGAGGCGCCGCGGCTCTTGAGTCCGAGGCTCATTATTGAATCGCTTCGCTCACTCCGCCGGCCCATTTCGCATGACTCAGCCTCTTGGGGCCGCTGGGGGGCCTCTTCAGCGTCGCTTGGGGGCCTCCTGAGGGCCTCTTGGGGGCTTTGGGGGCCTCTCAGGGGCCTCTTGAGGCCTCCTGGGGGCTTCTTAAGGCCGAGGGCTCGAAGTTTTGTTTTGTGTCCCCCCTTTGGGGCATCGCTTGGGGCCCTCTTGGGCCCCTCTTGGGCCGTCTTGGATGCCTCTGGGGCCGTCTTGGAGCCCTCTTGGGCCATCTTGGGGCCTTCTTGGGAGCTTCTTGGGCCCTCTTGGGGCGATCTTGGGGGCCTCTTGGGCCGTCTTGGGGCGTCGGGAAGCCGAAAAGATGGACACGCCAAAATCTGCCCAAAACCTAAGGAAAAGTAATGAATTTTGCCTCTTGGGGCCCTCTGGGGAGTGCTCTTGGAGGCCTCTTGGGGCGTCTGGGGGCCATCTTGGGCGTCTTGGAACGATCGTGTGGCATCTCGGAGCACTCTTGAACCATCTTGGAGGGCTCTTGGCGGCCTCGTGGCCCTTCTTGGGGCTCTCTGGAGGGCCACGGGGGCGGCGCCCAGGAGGAAAACCATCTCTGACCCGAGTCTGCCGGGGATCGCCCGGGGTACTTTTCGTCCGGGGACCCCCAGGGGCCGCCCCGCGCGCGCGAAGTAGAAGTATTATTTAGCAGTTACCGGAGATCTTAGCACGCCTCTGGCCCGTTGGGCCAGCGAATTTTCTCTGCGGGGTGACTCCTTCTGACGCGACGAGTCTCGAAGAGGCGAGGGTGGTCACCAGGGGGCCACAGCTCACAGCTCGGCCGAAACAGTTGGGGGCGGGCAGGTGACAAGACGTCTCGAGGCTTCTCTACCACTCTCTGTACCCACCCCACACAGACATTCGGCAACGAGCCTGTGGTGCTTCCCACCCCCTGGCACTGATGCGACCACCTGGCCTCGCATATTTCGTGCATTGGATCTGCCCGTTGATCAGAATTGTCGAGCGTTTCACACCCCATGAACCCTAGACCCCTCCCGAAAGCATACCCCAGAACGTCGAACAAATCCATCCCTCCTCCTTCTGCATTCTCCTCCATGTCGCACCACTAGGCGTGTCCGTAGGAAAGGCCTGGCGTTTCGCTTTAGATTTCTTTGTAGCATACTACCACGTACAGTATATAACCAGCTACAAAAATCCGAAAAGTTTCAAGTGTGGAGGGCCGGTTGTTTTCAGAATGCTGATGTCGCCGCAGCGCTGCGCACATTCGTTCTGATAGCCTCCAACAGGTAGAAACATTAGGGGACAGCTGTTTTCAAAATGCCGCGTCCACCATAGCGCCGCGCACATTCGTTTTCAAAGTTTTCAAGAGCTACATGGATGGAAAGCCCGTGGTTTGCAACAGGCACTTCTCGTCCGAACGCCGCGCACATGTGTTTCTCAAATTGCCAACAGCTACAAGGATGGAGGCCCATTCGTTTTCAAAATGCGGATCTCGCTTAAGCTTCTCTTTGAAGCTTTGACCCAATAATCCAAATTGCGCAACAGCCTCATGAATTGAAGGCGGCATATTTTCAAACTGGAGCTCTCGCTGGAGACTTCCGCAAATTGTATGACCATACTTTGGACTTCGTGTAATACCTACGCGACTGGAGTGCTCATCATTGAGCCCGCAGAGCGGGAGTCACGGCGGCCCCCCAGGGGGAAGTTTGCACGCAGACTTTGCAACCAGTGGGTGTTAGGGATATTGCCTCGACGAGGGTCGGCACCAGTCGTTGCAATGGAGTTGTTACGCACATGGGCCTGGCCCTGGGAGCGCACTTCACTCGTATTTTCACGTGCGCCAAGAGCCCCGAGAGCGCAGATCGCAGTCTTTCCTTCGTCAAAGGGAGAATCAGGGTGCGGCTGCCCTCTTCGGGCCTCTTACGGGCCAGCGGAGTGTGCGAAGCTGCTCCTAGCGTGCCTTCCTGCACGCTTCTCCCCCCCTCCATCGCGTCCTCCCTCCCATCACCGGCCCTCGAGCCCGAACCCCGCCACGGGCCCGCAGAGGGGCCCGCCGAAGGGAGCCCGCAGAGCGGAAGCCACGGCGGGCCCCCAGGGGGAAGGCCGCGCGCAGACGGTGCAGTCATTGGGCGCTGGAGATATGGCCTCGACGCCCCCTGCCCCTCCTCCTCCTCCTCCTCCTCTTCTTCTTCCTCCTGCTCCTCCTCCTCTTCTTCCTCCTCCTTCTCCTCCTCCTGCTCCTCCTCCTGCTCCTCCTCCTGCTGCTCCTCCTGCTGCTCCTCCTCCTCTTCTTCCTCCTCCTCCTCCTCCTCGTCTTGCTCCTGCTCCTCTTCCTCCTCATCCTCCTCCTCTCCTTCTTCCTCCTGCTCCTCCTCCTGCTCCTCCTCCTCCTCCTCGTACCCTCATCCTCCTCCTCTTTCCTCCTCCTCTTTCTTCCTCCTCCTCCTCCTCCTCCTCCTCCTCCTCCTCCTCCTCCTCCTCCTGCTCCTGCTCCTGCTCCTCCTCGTCCTCCTCCCTCCTCGTCCGCCTCCTCCTCCTCATCCTCGTCCTCCTCGTAATCCTCCTCCTCCTACTCCTCCTCCTCCTCCTCCTCCTCCTCCTCCTCTCTCCTCCTCCTCCTCATCCTTCCTCCTCCCCTTCCTCCTCCTCCTCCTCCTCCTCCTCCTCCTCCTCCTCCTCCTCCTCCTCCTCCTCCTCCTCCTCCTCCTCCTCCTCCTCCTCCTCCTCTTGCTCCTGTTCCTCCTCTTCTTCCTCCTCCTCCTCATCCTCCTCCTCCTCCTCCTCCTCCTCCCCCCCCATCTCCCTTCCCCTCCCCCTCCCCCTGGAGGCTCGAGGGGACGACGGTGGATCGCACTCCTTCAGTTCTTGGAGGCGCAGCGGACGGATGCAAATATGCGGCGTCGGGGACGAAGGTCGCATGTCCATCACGGCGCGCCCTCCGTCCGTGCAGCGGATGGTCATCCAAGGCGCCATGGCCCCAGATGGTTCAGGGGTTTGTCTCGGCCGAGACGCCCGGACAGCTCTCTCGGCACGCGCGGTGGTGCGGCGAAGAGGAGTTGCTCACAGGGAGGAGAGATGGAGCAGTCTCTCCCCTCTCCTGGAGAGGCCTCAAGGTTCGCCCATTGTCTTTCGCGGCATATGTTTTTTGTTTGTGTCTCGTGCGTCGTGTGCGGCAGCGGACAAAGTAAGCTGCGGGGCCAGGAGGCATCTGGGGCACCTCACCACAACCTGACAGGTTTACACCACAGACAGAAATCCTGTTGCTGGGTCCACCCCGCAGAATAACAGAAACGGAATGTTCTTCTGGTGATGCGGGCTTGTGAGCGCCCTCCTGCTGTGCTCGTCGCGGCGGAGCCAGAGATTGCAATAGAACCGGTGGCAAAACAATCAATGCGTTGCGTCATGCGCGGGTACGATACAAATAGTTGCTGACCCGCATCTTAAACGTGTCTGGTCCAAATGGTGTTGAGATGATGATGGTATATGCACCGCCCACCCCGCTTCTCATATTATGTAATGCTGCTGCCCGTATTCGGGCATGGTAAAGTTGGTTCGGCAGATAAGTTGTCCTGGCGACCGTTAGCCCGATGCACCACAGAACACAAAACGGTTTGCATCCCCACCGGGTCCAGAGTTCATTGAGGAGTTGACCGACTCCGAATGTCTCAAGCATGGGGTGGTGCGGAAGCAATAGCTGCGCATCTTCACGCTTCTGGGGCTTGTTGGGTCTCTCGTAGTAGAGAGTCGAAATATGAGGCACTGGAAATTGCAGCTATGGCCATGGCTCCTCTTCCACAGCCAGGCTGGCTCAAGCCGTGGCGGCTACAGCAAGAGGTGGCGTAGTTTTGGTTTTCCTCGCCGCTCTTTGCCTGAAGGCCGCCTGCTCCAGAGGAGCATGGACCCTGGGCCAGGCTTGCCAGGGTCAGTCGACTGCGAGATCGTGAGCGAGATACCGAGGCCCAACCCGCCACCCGTCCACCGCCGCCGTGGCGAAGGACTGCACGTGAGGCTCTGGGAGTACGGCGGCACCATCTGGACAGAGTCGCACATCTACAGCCACTGGCTCGAAGCCGACTGCTCCAACAACGGCGACGATCTGGACGTGCACCTGCCGTCCGTTTCGGTGCAGGGCCTGATGCAGCTCCGGCGGTGCCTGGACCACCCAGGGGCCCTGTGCCTCGATCCGCCTTCGGACGGCGGCACCGAGGACGCCTTCCTCTGGGGCAACCTGTGCTCGCGGCTGGACGAGCCCGCCTCTGTGGAGGCCCAGCGCGCGCTGAGCAAGCGCCGCGGCCCGTGCAACGCGCAGCAGGCGGCCCCCCCGCAGCCGAAGTCGCAGGCCCTGGAGATGATGCAGCCCGAGGTGGGGGAAACCAAGAGGTACTCCAGATTTCGTAATACAGGGAGGGGGGTCTCATTTCGGGGGGGGGGTCTCTTCCAGGCTATCTTGGAGGGCCTGGGGGGGTCTGGGGACGATGTTTTGGAGGGTTCTCCCACGGGGGGGTCTGAAATGGCTTGTCTTGGAGGGTCCAGACCCCCTCCCTTTTATTACGAAATCTGGAGTACCGATACCGCTACTCCCTGACCCTCTCCTGGGGTGCGTTCTGACCAGGATCTCGAGGCGAATCCAGCGGTGGCGACGAGGGCCTCCCGGGAGGCCGAACAAGAGGAAAACGGGCCACAGGCAGCGGGGTATGGGTACCTTTCCCTCCTCCCAGACCCCCGACGCCGTGATTTGTTCACAACGTCGATCCCCACAGGGTCTGGACCTTTTCCCCGGGACCGGTTTTTCATCTTGATTCGTTGTTTCACGGTCCTGGGGCCCGGTAAGGGCCCCAGGAGGCCGAAAATAAGGAAAAATTGTCCGTCGCGGTTGTTTTTTCCCAACGCGAGGGGGTCTGGGCTCTGAGAGGTGGGTGCTGAGTGCATGGACGTCTCCATCTGTGCCCTCGAGGGCCTCCAGGAGGACAGCGCCCCGGTCATGATGCTGCTGCGGTGCGAGCGGCCGCTGGCCTCGCTGCGCTATGCCGCCCTCGTCGCCTGCGCCAGCGCGGGAGGTGCGCAGGCCAGGGCCCACGTCGACCCCTCTGGCTCGATTCGATGTCGAGGTCGATGGATTCCGATTCCGATTCGGTTCGATTTCGGATTCCCCAGACACCTTCGCGTTGTGACAGAATCGCGAAGGGAGGTTTTTCGCTATTTTCGGCCTCCCAGGGCCCTCGCCAGGCCCCGGGACCGTCAAGAAACGATTCAGGATGAAAAACCCGTCCCGGGGAAGGGGTCCAGACTTGTGTCGACTAGACGTAAGAGTGACCTTTCCCCGGAGTGACCTTTGGTGCGGGCGCAATGGGGTTCCCCGATCGCCGAACGCGATGCGATAGTGGCGCCTTGCGCGCCTGTGTCTGGCCCCCCCGCGTCCCCCGTAAAGCCGCGCACCAAAGGTCACTCTTGCCCATGGTTCGCTCCTGCGTGCAGCCGAGTTGTGAAAGAATCACGACGTCGGGGGTGTTGGTCAGTTCTGGATGCCGACGTCTCACTGGAGGCCTCACTGGCCTGCCGATGTCCCCCGACTCGACCTCTCCCGACTTGACTGCCGATGTCCGCCGATCCGATGCACTTCGATAGCTGGTCTCGACCACACGTAAGAGTGACGCTTCGCCGGAGTGACCTGTGGGGTTCCCCCCGATCGCCGAGCGCGATGCGATATAAGCGGCCCGCGCCCTTGGGTTTGGCTCCCTCGCGCCCCCGAATGCTGCGCACCAAAGGTCACTCTTACCCAGGGTCACTCTTACGTCTAGCCGATGGTCCGACCGATTGGATTCTGGGCTCTCCTGCAGGCGCTCCACGCAGCACGCGAGGTCGCCAAGGCGCTCGCTACGGCGTTTCTGGACGAGCGCTTCGTGCGCGAGGCGTCCAGGGCGCCTCGGCATCAGCCCTCTCGCGTGGTTGAGGCCTTCGACAGCTTCCTTTCCATGCTGACCATCGTGCCGACCGTTCACCTGCGGAGCGGCGGCGAGCGAGGGGGGAAGCGAGAAGGAGGAGGCCTTCTCGGAAGGCGGCGGGGCTTCTCGGAAGCCCTCCAGCCTTCTGGGAAGCTGTTCTGTGTCGTCGGGGAAGGCTTAAAAAACTTCTCAGAAGGCCCGAGGACTTCCGAGCCTTCTGGGAAGGCACGCCTCATTCTCATGACCCCCCCGGGCTCGCCGCCGAGAGGAGCAAGGAGTCGGGTACGGCGTCACTGCCGTTGGCCAACTTGAAGTCGAACGAGGCCAGTACTGGCGACGTCCTGCTCTCCGACTCTCTGCAGCACCAGATGGAGAGCCTCCTCTGCAAGTCGCTCGGCGTGACGCCACCGTCGCGGACCTGTTCTAGCAAGGGCATGGCCGAGGACGAGCGCGTCAAGTCCCACTGGAAGCGCTGCTTCGTGCAGGTGGACTGCCTGGACTCCGCGACCCAGGAGTGGAAGACGACTCACCAGCTGCGTCAGGGCATGGAGATCGATGCTGGCTCGGGCAAGAAGCCCCACCTGCCCCACGCGTCGGCGGCAGGGCTCTCGAAGATCCGCGGGCTCATCGCCCCCCACAGCGTGGCGCTGAACGTCACAGCCAGCAGCGGCACCGCCGCGGCCGCCTTGGTCGCCCAACAGCTCGGCCGGGCGGGTCTCCCTCCCGGCGCGGCAGAGGCGGTGGCGTCCGCGTTGAGGGACCGAGCCACGCGGGGGGCCTCCCCGCCAGAACTGGCGGAGCCGGACTCCCCAACCAAGGCTTGCACTCCTTTCGTGATGGAGGGGGGCCACGAGTGGGATCTGGTGGCCCCCTGCGAGGAGGACGACTCCTTCCTCATCCTGCTCGTCTCCAGCGAGGAGGTCCCAAGCAGCACTGGCATCGCGAGCGCGTGCCTGAGGTTCAGCAATCCCGTCGAGTTCGCGCAGTGCGAGACGGTGGTTCGCTTCCTCGTAGTCCTCGTGGGGCCTGTGGGCGCCGCCGACGAGATATCACAGATCGGGAACTCCCTGGCCGCCCTCGCGGTCGACGAGGACCTCGTAGGCAGCCTCGACAAGGCGGTCGACGGGGTGTCGTTCTCGGCTGCCATGCACCGGCGACTGAACGACATTCCCGTCATGCCAAGGTCTCGACTACACGTAAGAGTGACCGTTCGCCGGAGTGACCTTTGGTGCGGGCTCATCGGGCTCCCCCCCGATCGCCGAGCACGATGCGATATAAGCGGCCCACGCCCTTGGGTTTGGCCGCTCGCGCCCCCAAAAGCTGCGCACCAAAGGTCACTCTTACCCAGGGTCACTCTTGCGTCTAGCCGAAGGTCGCGCCTCCAGGGGCACGGCCACCATCACGAGCTCGGTGCCCAAAACCCACCAGAGTCGAGCCCCAGAGGCAGCCCGACGGAGAGCCCCAGGAGCACCGCGAAGGGCAAGAAGAGCAGCAAGGCTACAGGCGATGAGCAAGAATTCCAGGAACACTCGGCTGACCGAATGCACGAGCGAGACCCGGCAACCATGAGCTTGTGCAGACGGATGTGGTTCTACGCCAGGCCTTTGCGCCATGCGATCCAGAAGTATTCCCTGCCCCTTGTCTGTGGCGTGCTGCTGGCCTTGACGTGGGTCAACGTGGACGAGCACAGCTATCATACTGCAATACATGGGTATTTTTCTGACGATCTCTCCATCTTTGGTCACAAGGTCAGCTTACACTTCATCGTGAACGACATCTTCATGTGCTTTTTCTTCGGCCTGGCGATCAAGGAGGTCACGGAGGCCCTCCTGCCCGGCGGGTCGCTATCGCCACTGCGCAGGGCGGCCAATCCGTTGTGCGCAACCCTCGGAGGCATCATCGGCCCCATCGTGTGCTACTTCATCATGACGCTCATGCTGGATGCCTTCGGTGCCTTCGACGGCGAGGAATGCCAGGTCGAGGTGGAGGGCCGACGCCTCGCAGGCGGGAGCAGCGGCGGCCAGTTCACGGGCGAGGTTGCTCCCTGCAAGCTGCAGGCCATCCTCAACGGCTGGGGCGTGCCCACGGCGACAGACATCTCGCTCGCCTGGATGTTCGCGCTGCTGATCTTCGGTCCAGGCCACCCCGCGATCAATTTCCTGCTCCTTCTGGCCATTGTAGACGACGCGATCGGCATGGTGATCATCGCCGTCTTCTACGGCGACAAGGACAAGCCGTTCTATGAGGGCAAGGAGTGGCTCGGGCTGGTTGTCTGCGCCGCCATCCTTGCCTACATCCTTCGGCGCCTGCGAGTCCAGCAGTGGCCAGTCTTCATCCTCGTCTGCGGCCCCGTCTCCTGGATAGGGCTGCTGAAGGCCCACGTGCACCCGGCGCTTGCGCTCGTCGCGGTCGTGCCGTTCATGCCAGCGACGCACGCCATCAAAAAACAAGGTAGCGACAAGAAGGGATTGGGCGCTGGGGTGGACTGGTCGTCCAGGTCCTCGACGAGGGTGCTGAAAGGGATGCTGCTGAAGGCCGCGCCCCTAGCTCAGTACCTCAGCAAGAGTACGAGGGGAAACACGGTAGTGGGCAACATGATGCAGCTCTTGCAGAACCAAGAGGATGCTCCACTCCACTTGTTCGAACACCATCTGAAGCTCCCGGTCGACATCGGCATGTTTTTCTTCGGCCTGGCCAACGCTGGTGTGAAGTTGGGATCGGTGGGCAACGTTACCACCTGCGTCCTGACGGCCCTCATTGTGGGCAAGACCCTGGGTGTCGCAGGCTTCGCGATGTTCGCGCAGTGCTTGGGCTTCGGCCTCCCGGCCGGCATCACGATAGGCGACCTGTTCTCGATGGGGGCTCTAGCTGGCGTCGGACTCACCGTGGCCCTGTTCGTGTCGAACGAGGCTTTCACAGACCCTGGGCTTCAGGGGCAGGCTAAGATGGGGGCCTTGCTCTCCATCGGGTCTGCTGGCTGCTCTTGGCTTATCAAAGCTGTACACAGGAGGTTGAGCACGGGGAGCCTTGACGAAACCAGCGATAATGTCATGGCCCTGGGGGACAGCGATGACGAGGACCTAGAGCGGACGAGGAGTGGACTCGAAGAGGAAGGCGAGGGATTCGAAGATGTGATTACCCAGGAGCTCATGGAGAAGATGTGGGAGTTCAGGCGATACAAGGCGAGGGGGCACCATTTGAATATCGACCACATGGCGAGGTCGGTCACGAGGAAAGTCTCCAGGAACCCGACTGCATCCCGAACCCCCAAGATTGCGACACCCTCGTCTCGCGATGACGACGGCATCAAGCACTCTACTAGCGAGAGCAGATTAGGGCAATTTCGGCTCGAGCTGCCGCGAAGCACCAAGAAGCACGCCACGTGCGACGGGATGCTACGGTGAGGCTCACGCTGCCGGCAGCCACTTCGCAGCGGCCACCTCTTGCCGGTTTAGCACCGCCAGCGAGCAACGAGCACATGCTCAGCGCGGTGTTCAGGGGCCACGTTGGGGGAGGGATGGGCACGAGGGCTGATGCACCGACCCCCATCGCCCATTCATAGCCAACATGGGATCTGGCAGTCCGCCCCGCCTAAGAACGTGCGGACTCGCTACCGGGGGCCCCTCGCAGATCCATCGGCGAGGTATCGCCGATGCCAGGTCCATGTTTCCCCGTGAGCCGGCTCCCCCCTATCGTTCCCCTCCTGGTACGAGTGCATGCTTAGGGCGATAATCCAAAAGCGTGTGTAGTCGATCTCTGTGATCTTTGATTTTCTGTCGCCCTGATCACCTCTGGAAGTCAGAGTGGCACCTCGCTGAAGTGGCGCTTTGCCCTTGGAGGCCAAAGCGACACCTAACTTAGGCGGGAGAGCCTGCGTCTCGCTGCGACTCCGCACATGGAGGTGGTAGTACAACGATCTTCTAGACTGCGTATTCTACACGCGGGACCCTTCTCCCCCTCCCGACTCTTGCTTCCGATCCGGCTTCCACTCCTCCTCTCCCTCCTCCTCCTTTGTCTCCTCCTCTCCACCGATGCCATAGGCGTCAGGAGTTGGCCATCCCTGATATTTTACTGGTTCGGCCCGTCGTCTTTCAAATGTCAAAAGCTGCGCCACAGTCTCCGCCACCTCGCAGGTGCCCTTGCGTACTGGCAGTCGTCCTCCTCCCTCCTCCTCCTCCTCCTCCTCCTCCTCCTCCTCCTCCTCCTCCTCCTCCTCCTCCTCCAGCTCCTCCATTCCTCTTCCTTGTAACTCATTTTTCCCTGTCGCACCCCGAGAGGCCACTGTGTAGGGCGGGCTGGGCATTCCGCCTGAGACTTCCTCGACGCTCATGACTCTGAAGCTTACTCCAGATTTCGTAATAAAAGGGAGGGGGTCTGGACCCTCCAAGACAAGCCATTTCAGACCTCCCCCGTGGGAGAACCCTCCAAAACATCGTCCCCAGACCCCCCAGGCCCTCCAAGATAGCCTGGAAGAGACCCCCCCCCCCCCGAAATGAGACCCCCCTCCCTTTATTACGAAATCTGAAGCTTAACAATAGGCAACAGTTTTACAGATGGAGGGCGGGTGGTTTTCAAAATGTGACTCTCGCCTGAGTGCGGCGCACAGTGTTTTAAAGACTACAAGAGCTTCCCGGGTGGAGGGCGGGTGGTTTTCAAAATGTGGCTCTCGCCTTAGCGCGGCGCACATTCGTTCTTTGAATTCACAAGAGCTTCACGGATTGAAGGTGGGTGGTTTTCAACATGTGGTTCTTTCCTGAGCGCGGCGCAAATGTGTTTTAGACATTTGCAAGACCTTCACGGATTGAGGGCGGGTGGTTTTCAAAATGTGGTTTTCGCTGTAGCGCGGCTCACATTCGTTTTGAAAATTTGCACGAGCTTCACGGATTGAGGGTGGGTGGTTTTCAAAATGTGGTTCTCGCCTTAGCGCGGCGCGCATTCCGTGTAAAAACTGCACGAGTTCTACGGATTGAGGGCGGGTGGTTTTCAAAATGTGGTTCTCGCCTTAGCGCGGCGCACATTGGTTTCGAACATTGGCCAGAGTTTCACGGATTCCCATCATCAGCGTACCAGAAGTAGCGTTTGGGAAGAATTCAGGATTATGCGGGTGCAACAGTTACGTTGGTTCTTTGTGTTGAAGTCCTTGGAATGGCGTTCTGGCACGATTCACGATCGCTAAAACGCAACAATCAGGTTGATCCGTGGCGTTGGAATCCCGAGATTAACGTTTTGGTATGTTTCAGGGTCTTCAAGCGGTTGTCTTCCAACGAAGCAGTTCCCTCAATGGAAATGAACCGTTGTTCGGGCCTATGAAGAGGGAGCTTGGAGGGAGGGTTTACTTCAACATCGTTGATGACCCTTGGGTTTACACTGGTCCTCCTCCTCCTGCTCCTCCTCCTCCTGCTCCTCCTCTTCCTCCTCCTCCTCCTCCTCATCCTCATGCTCATCCTCATCCTTTCCCTCCTCCATCGTAGGAATCAGCAGGGCGCCTTTGCTCCGAGCCTCCTTCTGACGCCCCGCCCACGGCGGCCTGCTGTGGGGCGGCACATCTCAAGGTGCAGAACCAATTCGCTCTGAGACTGGCCTCTCGCCAGCGGGGCTCCGCGGCCCTCTCGGGCCGCAAATAGCATGGCGCAGACGGGCAACAAAACACAAACATACATCTTGGGTCGGCACCACACCCCCCTGACAGCTCCTCCGGCGCCACCCTGGCGCGCTCTGCGCGCATGGCGAAAAGGATCCAGAGCCCAGACCTGAGCTCCGCGTTGGGCTCCGAAAACTTATGCTTAGGCTGCTTTTTGCCTCATCCGCGACCACCTCCAAGGGTGCCAGAGGACTCGGAGGGGACCGCCGTGGCCCTCCAGGCTTCACTGTACGGAGCGGGGGGGAGAAGATATGCAAACTGTG